CGGCTCAACGAACCTACTTATGGCAAAATAAGCTCTAGAAAATACCGCAAAGCCCAATGATAGTGCGGTAACATGACAAGTAAATGCCATCAAAATGCTATCAAATAAGCATGATGCTAATCCCAGCCAATCATAGTCAATTTCAAGTCTGGTTAAGAAAGAGTAATTGATGTCAAGCAGACAGCCGGCCGTAAAAACCAATACCAAAGCCAAGTAATGATGAGTCAACTTACCTCCACAAAGAATTAATTCTAAGCCGTATCGCACAGGCGAAGCGCAGCAGCAAATCACGACGGTTGTGAGAAATGAGCAAGGGAACCAGTTCTTGTGACAACGGCAGTCGAAATGGAAAGATTGACATGCCGAAAACGAAACGAGAAAATGTTAATAGCCATGGGGCATGCTGGAACAATGACGGGGAAGGGAATGGAGCTAGCGGAAACTCTTCAGAGAAGAAAAGTTCAGATCGCTTGCATTCAGGAGATGAAATGGAAAAGCGAGAAGTCGAAACAGATTTGGCTGGGCTATAATCTTATTTACTGTGGAACATCATGTGGAAGAAATGGAGTTGGAATAATAGTGAATGAAGCGACCAAAGACAGTGTAATCGAAGGCAAGTGAATTAATGATAGAATCATTAAGGACGTTAAGCTGAGCTTCAAAAGTGCTACCTTAAATATAAAAAAGCTGAAGTCCATTGGACTGACCAGAATGAAGCCGAAACGTCGAAGTTCTGACAGAGCTGAGATACTGCACTGCAAAACAAGGCGAAATAAAAACTGATAATCAGGGATTACTTTATCTGGCACACTGAGAAACATCGAAAGAGATACGACAAGATCCATGGCTTACACAGACATGGTACGTTAAATAAAGAAGAGAACATCTTGTAGGTGCAGTTGCATATAATCTGGTTCTGATAAACGTGTTCTTCCAGAAAAGAGAAAACCACATGTCAATGCTAACTTATAAGAGCGGGCAGAAGAAGTCAGATCGACTACTTCCTGGTCCGAAAGGGCAAACTTAAGAACGGTGCAGATTGCAATATTACCCTCGGGGAAATTTTCACAAGCCAGCACCAGCTAGTAGTGAAGGTCCTAGACCTCTGTCTGAAATAGCCCGTTCAGAAAGTGGGCTCCGTGGCAGTTCTGAAGATACAGTGGTTGATCGAAGAGAAGCTGAAAGAAG